GTTATTTTTTGTGGTTACTGTTGTTGTGGTTGTGTGGTTGTAGTTGTGTTATTGCTGTTGTGGTTGTTGTGGTTGTGGTGGTTGTTTTATTGTTGTTGTTATCAAGGGTGGAGGGACTGTTTACTGTTTGTGTTGTCCTCTGAGCAAACAAGCAGACAAACTAAAATGGTAAACGTTTGTCTACCTCATCTAACTCTTCCTGTGTTAAACTTTAAACGCGTTGACATGGTAAGGAAATAAAAGGTTTATTTATTAGTCTCGGTAATGAGGTGGAGATGGGGTCCAGAACACAGGTGGTTCAGGAGCCCTCATTGTCCACCTGCCCTCATTATCCACCTGTTCACCTGCCCTCATTATCCACCTGTTCACCTGCCCTCATTGTTCACCTGCCCCTCATTATTCACCTGTTCACCTGCCCTCATTGTTCACCCTGCCTCATTATCCACCTGTTCACCTACCCTCATTGTTCACCTGCTCTCATTATCCACCTGTTCACCTGCCCTCATTGTTCACCTGCCCTCCTACCCACCTGCCCTCCTACTCACACCCACCCACCTACTGCCCTCCTAACCACCTGCCCACCTACCTGCCCTCCTACCCACCTGCCCACCCACCTGGCCATCACCACTAATTACCCCTGTCTTGAATCCAATCTCATAGTCATTAAGGCTGTTGAGGGTGGTTACTCACATCTTTCTTCTGCTGTCACCTTCGGGAGGCCCTTCTGGCCTCGGCCTGCCTGCGCCTGGCCCTGCCCTGGCCTGGCCCTGGCCCTGGCCCTGGCCCTGGCCCTGACCTGGCCCTGGCCCTGGCCCTGGCCCTGGCCTCCTGGCCCTGGCCCTGACCTGGCCCCTCACTAACAGCTGATGCGGATTGTGATGGTTTCTATCCGCTTGTCTGTGTACCTGTCCGTCTGTCTGTGTACCTGTCCGTCTGTCTGTGTACCTGTCCGTCTGTCTGTGTACCTGTCCGTCTGTCTGTGTACCTGTCCGTCTGTCTGTTTACCTGTCCGTCTGTCTGTGTACCTGTCCGTCTGTCTGTGTACCCGTCCGTCCGTCTGTTTACCTGTCCGTCTGTCTGTGTACCTGTCCGTCTGTCGTGTACCTGTCCGTCTGTCTGTGTAACTCGTCCGTCTGTCTGTGTACCTGTCCGTCTGTCTGTGTACCTGTCCGTCTGTCTGTGTACCTGTCCGTCTGTCTGTGTACCTGTCCGTCTGTCTGTGTACCTGTCCGTCTGTCTGTGTACCTGTCCGTATGTCTGTGTACCTGTCCGTCTGTCTGTGTACCTGTCCGTCTGTCTGTGTACCTGTCCGTCTGTCTGTGTACCTGTCCGTCTGTCTGTGTACCTGTCCGTCTGTCTGTTTACCTGTCCGTCTGTCTGTGTACCTGTCCGTCTGTCTGTGTACCTGTCCGTCTGTCTGTGTACCTGTCCGTCTGTCTGTGTACTGTCCGTCTGTCTGTGTACCTGTCCGTCTGTCTGTGTACCTGTCCGTCTGTCTGTTTACCTGTCCGTCTGTCTGTGTACCTGTCCGTCTGTCTGTTTACCTGTCCGCCTGTCTGTGTACCTGTCCGTCTATCTGTGTACCTGTCCGTCTGTCTGTGTACCTGTCCGTCTGTCTGTGTACCTGTCCGTCTGTCTGTTTACCCGTCCGTCTGTCTGTGTACCCGTCCGTCTGTCTGTTTACCTGTCCGTCTGTCTGTACCTGTCCGTCTGTCTGTTTACTCCGTCCGTCTGTCTGTACCCGTCCGTCTGTCTGTTTACCTGTCCGTCTGTCTGTGTACCTGTCCGTCTGTCTGTTTACCTGTCCGTCTGTCTGTGTACCTGTCCGTCTGTCTGTTTACCTGTCCGTCTGTCTGTGTACCTGTCCGGTTCGTCTGTTTACCTGTCCGTCTGTCTGTTTACCTGTCCGTCTGTCTGTTTACCTGTCCGTCTGTCCTGTTTACCTGTCCGTCTGTCTGTGTACCTGTCCGTCTATCTGTGTACCTGTCCGTCTGTCTGTGTACCTGTCCGTCTGTCTGTGTACCTGTCCGTCTGTCTGTGTACCTGTCCGTCTGTCTGTTTACCTGTCCGTCTGTCTGTGTACCTGTCCGTCTGTCTGTTTACCTGTCCGTCTGTCTGTGTACCTGTCCGTCTGTCTGTGTACCTGTCCGTCTGTCTGTGTACCTGTCCGTCTGTCTGTTTACCTGTCCGTCTGTCTGTTTACCTGTCCGTCTATCTGTGTACCTGTCCGTCTGTCTGTGTACCTGTCCGCCTGTCTGTGTACCCTGTCCGTCTGTCTGTTTACCTGTCCGTCTGTCTGTGCCTACCTCCGTCTGTCTTTGTACCTGTCCGTCTATCTGTTTACCTGTCCGTCTGTCTGTGTACCTGTCCGTCTGTCTGTTTACCTGTCCGTCTGTCTGTTTACCTGTCCGTCTGTCTGTTTACCTGTCCGTCTGTCTGTGTACCTGTCCGTCTGTCTGTGTACCTGTCCGTCTGTCTGTTTACTTGTCCGTCTGTCTGTTTACCTGTCCGTCTGTCTGTGTACCTGTCCGTCTATCTGTGTACCTGTCCGTCTGTCTGTGTACCTGTCCGTCTGTCTGTGTACCTGTCCGTCTGTCTGTTTACCTGTCCGTCTGTCTGTGTACCTGTCCGTCTGTCTGTTTACCTGTCCGTCTGTCTGTGTACCTGTCCGTCTGTCTGTGTACCTGTCCGTCTGTCTGTGTACCTGTCCGTCTGTCTGTTTACCTGTCCGTCTGTCTGTTTACCTGTCCGTCTATCTGTGTACCTGTCCGTCTGTCTGTGTACCTGTCCGCCTGTCTGTGTACCTGTCCGTCTGTCTGTTTACCTGTCCGTCTGTCTGTGTACCTGTCCGTCTGTCTGTGTACCTGTCCGTCTATCTATTTACCTGTCCGTCTGTCTGTGTACCTGTCCGTCTGTCTGTGTACCTGTCCGTCTGTCTGTGTACCTGTCCGTCTGTCTTTTACCTGTCCGTCTGTCTTTTTACCTGTCCGTCTGTCTGTGTACCTGTCCGTCTGTCTGTGTATACCTGTCCGTCTGTCTGTGTACCTGTCCGTCTGTCTGTTTACCTGTCCGTCTGTCTGTGTACCTGTCCGTCTGTCTGTTTACCTGTCCGTCTGTCTGTGTACCTGTCCGTCTGTCTGTGTACCTGTCCGTCTGTCTGTGTGCCTGTCCGTCTGTCTGTTTACCTGTCCGTCTGTCTGTTACCTGTCCGTCTATCTGTGTACCTGTCCATGTCTGTGACCTGTCCGCCTGTCTGTGTACCTGTCCGTCTGTCTGTTTACCTGTCCGTCTGTCTGTGTACCTGTCCGTCTGTCTGTGTACCTGTCCGTCTATCTGTTTACCTGTCCGTCTGTCTGTGTACCTGTCCGTCTGTCTGTTTACCTGTCCGTCTGTCTGTTTACCTGTCCGTCTGTCTGTTTACCTGTCCGTCTGTCTGTGTACCTGTCCGTCTGTCTGTGTACCTGTCCGTCTGTCTGTTTACCTGTCCGTCTGTCTGTTTACCTGTCCGTCTGTCTGTGTACCTGTCCGTCTATCTGTGTACCTGTCCGTCTGTCTGTGTACCTGTCCGTCTGTCTGTGTACCTGTCCGTCTGTCTGTTTACCTGTCCGTCTGTCTGTGTACCTGTCGTCTGTCTGTTTACCTGTCCGTCTGTCTGTGTACCTGTCCGTCTGTCTGTGTACCTGTCCGTCTGTCTGTATACCTGTCCGTCTGTCTGTTTACCTGTCCGTCTGTCTGTTTCTGTCCGTCTATCTGTGTACCTGTCCGTCTGTCTGTGTACCTGTCCGCCTGTCTGTGTACCTGTCCGTCTGTCTGTTTACCTGTCCCGTCTGTCTGTGTACCTGTCCGTCTGTCTGTGTACCTGTCCGTCCTATCTGTTTACCTGTCCTCGTCTGTGTACACCTGTCCGTCTGTCTGTGTACCTGTCCGTCTGTCTGTTTACTGTCCGTCTGTCTGTGTACCTGTCCGTCTGTCTGTGTACCTGTCCGTCTGTCTGTGTACCTGTCCGTCTGTCTGTGTACCTGTCCGTCTGTCTGTGTACCTGTCCGTCTGTCTGTGTACCTGTCCGTCTGTCTGTGTATCTGTCCGTCTGTCTGTGTACCTGTCCGTCTGTCTGTGGACCTGTCCGTCTGTCTGTACCTGTCCGTCTGTCTGTTTACCTGTCCGTCTGTCTTTTACCTGTCTGTTTACCTGTCTACGTGGGGGAACTAAATGAACGAATGAAAAGAAACAGGACGAAATGAAATGAAAACAAAAAGACAGATTGAAATAGAGTAGAAATAGATTGATTGATGAGCCAATATAGACCATTGAACCCATAGTTGAGTTGATTGTTCACTCCCTTTTCACACTCAATCACTCACTTTTACACTCATTCACTCACTTTTCACACTCATTCACTCACTACACTCATTCACTCACTTTTCACACTCATTCACTTATTTTTCACCTCATTCACTCCTTTTCACACTCATTCACTCACTTTTCACACTCATTCACTCACTTCACACTCATTCACTCCTTTCCACCTCATTCACTCACTTTTCACTCATTCACTCATTTTTCACACTCATTCACTCCTTTTCACACTCATTCGCTCACTTTCACACTCATTCACTCACTTTTCACACTCATTCACTCACTTTTCACACTCATTCACTCACTTTTCCACTCATTCACTCACTTTTCACACTCATTCACTCATTCACTTTATTTTCCACTCACTCATTCACTCACTTTTCCTCATTCACTCATTTTCACACTCATTCCTTATTTTCACACTCATTCACTCACTTTTCACACTCATTCCTCACTTTCACTCATTCACTCACTTTCACACTCATTCACTCACTTTTCACACTCATTCCACTCATTTTCACACTCATTCACTCACTTTTCACATATTCACTCACTTTTCACTCATTCACTCATTTTTCACACTCATTCCTCACTTTTCATACTCATTCACTCACTTTTCACACCTCACTCACTCACTATCTTACCTTTTCCCCATATGGTCGTGCGGTCGTCGATGAAGTATTGGTCGTCCTTGACAGTACGACGGTCCCCAGATACGACACTTTCCCTCGGCGTGAACCTTCCTCCAATCCGACCCGGATAGCTGTAGAGAACACAACACGGAGTTAATGAAATACAGAATAACTTTATTTTTTATTTCCGTTTGTGTTATGTATCACTAGTGTATTACAGTGACTTATTATACTGAAATGTGGTGTTAATTTAACCTCATAACACTGTAATGGTTGGTGAATTCTTTGTAACACTGAAATATTAAATTACTGTAATATTTATTTTTTTATAACTACTGAAATGAGATGTTAGAGGCGTTTGTGTTTAAAATAGATGGGATAACTTTTTGGACACTCTGTATGTTATGTTCCAGTGACGACAGATGACAGCACAGAGGTTGGCTGCCACAGTGTTCCGTCTTCAGCTGTTGTATAGGTTATTGTGGTGTTATGGCTCGTGGTGTTGTTATGGCTCGTGTGGTGTTGTTATGGCTCGTGTGGTGTTGTTATGCTCGTGTGGTGTTGTTATAGCTCGTGTGGTGTTGTTATGGCTCGTGTGGTGTTGTTATGCTCGTGTGGTGTTGTTATGCTCGTGTGGTGTTGTTATGCCGTGGTGTTGTTATCTCGTGGTGTTGTTATGGCTCTGTGGTGTTGTTATACTCGTGGTGTTGTTATGGCTCTGTGGTGTTGTTATGGCTCATTGGTGTTATTGTGGCTCGTGTGTTGTTATGGCTCTTGGTGTTGTTATGGCTCGTGTGGTGTTGTTATGGCTCGTGTGGTGTTGTTATGGCTCGTGTGGTGTTGTTATGGCTCGTGTGGTGTTGTTATGGCTCGTGTGGTGTTGTTATGGCTCGTGTGGTGTTGTTGGCTCGTGTGGTGTTGTTATGGCTCGTGTGGGTGTTGTTATGGCTCGTGTGGTTTGTTATGGCTCGTGTGGTGTTGTTATGGCTCGTGTGGTGTTGTTATGGCTCGTGTGGTGTTATTGGCTCGTGTGGTGTTGTTATGGCTCATGTGGTGTTGTTATGGCTCTATGGTGTTGTTATGGCTCGTGTGGTGTTGTTATGGCTCGTGTGGTGTTTATTTATGGCTCGGTGGTGTTGTTATAGCTCGTGTGGTGTTGTTATGGCTCGTGTGGTGTTATTGTTAGCTCGTGTGGTGTTGTTATCGTGTGGTGTTGTTATGGCTCTGTGGTGTTGTTATGGCTCGTGTGGTGTTGTTATGGCTCATGTGGTGTTGTTATGGCTCGTGTGGTGTTGTTATGGCTCGTGTGGTGTTGTTATGGCTCGTGTGGTGTTATGGCTCGTGTGGTGTTGTTATGGCTCGTGTGGTGTTGTTATGGCTCGTGTGATGTTGTTTATAGCTCGTGTGGTGTTGTTATGGCTCGTGTGGTGTTGTTATGGCTCGTGTGATGTTGTTATGGCTCGTGTGATGTTATTGGCTCGTGTGGTGTTGTTATGGCTCGTGTGGTGTTGTTATGGCTCGTGTGGTGTTGTTATGGCTCGTGTGGTGTTGTTATGGCTCGTGTGATGTTGTTATGGCTCGTGTGGTGTTGTTATGGCTCGTGTGGTGTTGTTATGGCTCGTGGTGTTGTTATGGCTCGTGTGGTGTTGTTATGGCTCGTGTGATGTTGTTATGGCTCGTGTGGTGTTGTTATGGCTCGTGTGGTGTTGTTATGGCTCGTGTGGTGTTGTTATGGCTCGTGTGGTGTTATTATGGCTCGTGTGGTGTTGTTATGGCTCGTGTGGTGTTGTTATGGCTCGTGTGGTGTTGTTATGGCTCGTGTGGTGTTGTTATGGCTCGTGTGGTGTTGTTATAGCTCGTGTGGTGTTGTTATGGCTCGTGTGGTGTTGTTATGGCTCGTGTGGTGTTGTTATGGCTCGTGTGGTGTTGTTTGGCTCGTGTGGTGTTGTTATGGCTCGTGTGGTGTTGTTATGGCTGTGGTGTTGTTATGGCTCGTGGTGTTGTTATGGCTCGTGTGGTGTTGTTATGGCTCGTGTGGTGTTGTTATGGCTCGTGTGGTGTTGTTATGGCTCGTGTGGTGTTGTTATGGCTCTGTGGTGTTGTTATGGCTCGTGTGGTGTTGTTATGGCTCGTGTGGTGTTGTTATGGCTCGTGTGGTGTTGTTATGGCTCTGTGGTGTTGTTATGGCTCGTGTGGTGTTGTTATGGCTCGTGTGGTGTTGTTATGGCTCGTGTGGTGTTGTTATGGCTCGTGTGGTGTTGTTATGGCTCGTGTGGTGTTGTTATGGCTCGTGGTGTTGTTATGGCTCGTGTGGGGTGTTGTTATGGCTCGTGTGGTGTTAGTGGCTCGTGTGGTGTTGTTATGGCTCGTGGTGTTGTTGTGGCTCGTGTGGTGTTGTTATGGCTCGTGTGGTGTTGTTATGGCTCGTGTGGTGTTGTTGTTATGGCTATGACGCTGGAGTGGGAGGTAGGGTCCATCTGTGAGGCAGGAGGGGGAGGTGATGACCATCTGTGAGCAGGAGGGGAGGTAAAGGACCATCTGTAGGAGGCAGGAGGAGGTGGGACCATCTGTGAGGGCAGGAGGGGAGGTAGGGACCATCTGTGAGGCAGGAGGGAGGTGGGGGCCATCTGTGAGGCAGGAGGGGGAGGTAGGGACCATCCAGAGGCAGGAGGGGAGGTAGGGACCATCTGTGGGGCAGGAGGTAGGGACCATCTGTGAGAGGCAGGAGGGGAGGTAGGGACCATCTGTGAGGCAGGAGGGGAGGTGAGGGACCATCTGTGAGGCAGGAGGGAGGTGGGGACCATCTGGAGGCAGAAGGGGGGTAGGGACCATCTGTGAGGGCAGAAGGAGGTAGGGACCATCTGTGAGGCAGGAGTGGGAGGTGGGGACCATCTGTGAGGCAGGAGGGGAGGTAGGGACCATCTGTGAGGCAGGAGTGGGAGGTAAGGGACCATCTGTGAGGCAGAAGGGGGAGTTAGGGACCATCTGTGAGGCAGGAGTGGGAGGAGGGACCATCTGTGAGGCAGAAGGGGAGGTGGGACCATCTGCGGAGCAGGAGGGGAGGTAGGGACCATCTGTGAGGCAGGAGGGGGAGGTAGGGACCATCTGTGAGGCAGGAGTGGGAGGTGGGACCATCTGGCCAGGGCAGGGGGAGTAGGGACCATCTGTGGGGGCAGGGTGGGAGGTAGGGACCATCTGTGAGGCAGAAGGGGAGGTAGGGACCATCTGTGAGGCAGAAGGGGAGGTAGGGACCATCTGTGAGGCAGGAGTGGGAGGTAAGGACCATCTGTGAGGCAGGAGGGAGGTAAGGGACCATCTGTGAGGGCAGGAGTGGGAGGAAGGGACCATCTGTGAGGCAGGAGGGGGGAGGTAGGGACCATCTGGAGGCAGAAGGGAGGTAGGGACCATCTGTGAGGCAGGAGTGGGAGGTAGGGACCATCTGTGAGGCAGGAGGGAGGTAGGGACCATCTGTGAGGCAGAAGGGGAGGTAGGGACCATCTGTGAGGCAGGAGGGAGGTAGGGGACCATCTGTGGGAGTGGGAGGTAGGGACCATCTGTGAGGGCAGGAGGTAGGGACCATCTGTGAGGCAGGAGTGGGAGGTAGGGGACCATCTGTGAGGCAGGAGGGAGGTAGGGACCATCTGTGAGCAGGAGGGAGGTGGGACCATCTGTGAGGCAGGGTGGGAGGTGAGGACCATCTGTGAGGCAGAAGAGTAGGGACCATCTGTAGAGGCAGGAGGGGAGGTGGGACCATCTGTAGGCAGGGTGGGAGGTAGGGACCATCTGTGAGAGCAGGAGTGGGAGGTAGGGACCATCTGTGAGAGCAGGAGGGGGAGTGGGGACCATCTGTGAGGCAGGAGGGAGGTAGGGACCATCTGTGAGGCAGGAGGGGAGGTGGGACCATCTGTGAGGCAGGAGGGGTGAGGTAGGGACCATCTGTGAGGCAGGAGGGGGAGGTAGGGACCATCTGTGGGGCAGGAGTGGGGAGTGGGGACCATCTGTGAGGGAGGGAGGTAGGGACCATCTGTGAGGCAGAAGGGAGGTAGGGACCATCTGTGTGAGGCAGGAGGGGGATGAGGACCATCTGTGAGGCAGGAGGGTGGTAAGGACCATCTGATGAAGGCAGGAGTGGAGGTAGGGACCATCTGTGAGGCAGGAGGGGGAGGTA